TACCTAATTAGTAAAACAATGCATATTCCATTTTATAATAGTAAAGGATCACAGACCAGTAAAAACTTACTGACTGAGGGGATGAAGAGGGTGAACAGGGATTACAAGGACTCCCCAATATGTGGTTCATACACACTATTTAATTAAACCTGCGTAAATTAGCTGAGTTGGAAGGTTACTCAAGTGAGGTCTGTTTTCTTTAGATTTTTACTGTTAAGTAATTAACGTGAGTAAGCATGGATATGATTTTGGCATGTCTTCATTGTCAATGCCACCCTGGAAGCTTGAACTCTGCTAACTCCAAAAATGTCCTGTTTATAATTACTTGCATGGTAAGACAGTAAAACATCCTTATGTCCTTGGGCTAAACCTTCACATAAACTGAATTAACTTGGTTTATATAACTGAGAAGCCCGTGTATTTTATTTTCAACTGGCTCTTCTAGGTACAGTGAGCTAACAGGACTTTTCCCTTTTTGCATTTATGGAAAAAAATGCCATATCAAGTTTGCATTGTTGTACTCCTTAGCCCCCCAAAACACCTGAATGATTTTCTTAGTGCATACTGACAGGGCTAACCAAATAAATATCTGCTGGCATGAAACTTGATGCTGTGGTACATAAATGAAAAGACCAATCAGATGCTTAAATTTCTGAATTCTAATTTACTGTTAAGACTACCAATCACTGAATTTAGAAGAAGATAGAGGTAGATAATGCTGTCATAATCTACTTCCAATTAAAAAAAAAAGTGGCATGTTTTTCATTTTGCATCAGGTGGGGTAGAGTTTTTGCTAAAACTGTTGCACCTGTTTTTTGTTGAGTATTCATGAAGTGTAAACATGCTTTTGTCCTTACATTTATTTGTCAGTTGGGTTCAATTTTCAAAGATGTTAGTACACATCTAACTGAGAAGGTTTTCCTACAAATGATTAAATATTAAGAGCTGAAATGAGAAATATCTACTGCACAAATGTAAAAGATACAGGGAAATCTTTCACAATCGTTTGGGTGAGTTGCAAAGGAAAAAGTATGTTGTAATTACAAAATATTCCCATCAACCAGAAAGGATCCTTTGTATTTAGTATAATACTTGATTTCATTAAAAGGGGAGAAAAAGTCCTCATTACATACTGACAGAGTGGATTGGATCAATTTCTAAAAATATTTTCTGGTCTGTTGGGTAAATAAAGGTTCTCCTTTCTATCTTGTGACACTGTATGTATTCAAGGGTATTTATTCAGGCATTACATTTGTCCCTGGATAAGTTGTGCCTATGTTTGTCCTGGAACAAAAAAATCCTGGGATTGGCATATACAGACATCACCCCTTCTAATCGGAGTTTACTGAGCAACTGAATGCAGTGCAACTTTTCTGCCATAGATTCAGTTATGATCTCAGGGTAACTGTACAGACATACTTGGCACTGTTCTGGGTTCAACTACTGTTACCTCTCTTCCAGGAAATGTTTTTAGGGTATATCCTGGTACAGTAGACATAGGTATCTTGTCTGATTTGCACCTTGTCCCAAGATGAAATGTTTTATCTTAGGATAAATGTGACATTTGTGTGCCACACAAGAAATGTGGCTTTCTGGGAAGTTGCTTAATATTGAAGTGAACTGCTGTCTGTAAGCTGTTATGGGAAGAATCTGGGCAGATTGCAGCAGGTTGTTTGGTCATGCTAGTTGAGCTGACTGGTTTTACTTTTGCTGCTGGTGTTGGCCAAGGGGTGTTCAGGGCCCTTGCCTCTGCTGCAGCCAGGCTAGTAGATAATACTCAGAGGCCACCCAGGCTTGGTAGGGATGCAAAATAAACAAAAGAAGTTAAATAAGTTAGTACTTGGCTGATTTCCGGTGGTTCTTCCAGGCTCCACTTCCTGGTTGCCTCTTCTCTTTCAGAGGCTTTGCAGAGCCTGTAGGCTTCTGCAACAAAGCAAATGATAAAGCAAACAAAAAAACAGAGAAGAACCCTTGTCTGGGCTCTGCCCATGGCTGCTTAACACCTGGTAACTCCAGGCAGCCTGTTCTCTGGCCAGGTGCAGTCCCTTGAGGGAGCTTTCAGTGTCTTATCTTTCCCACGGCTGGGCTCATGTGGCTAACCCTCTCTCACTCCCCACACCTGTGCCAGCTGCCTTGCTGGGGGACTCTCTACATCCCAGGACCTGGTTCCTCAGCCTCCAGTGAGTTCTCCCAGGTCTGGGGTGGGTGTGCGAGGTGCTTCTGGGATGTGGGGCTGTTCAAACTCCCCCAAGCCTCCAGCAGCAGGGCAAGGCCCTGTTACATTATCTGAAAATGAAAAATATTGTTAAATTGGGGAAAGAGTTGCAAACCGAGCAGGTATCTACATACTAAAGCAAAACATTCTTACTTGTGTTTCTCCAGTTACATAATTAGATCTCAGTTCATGTAGTTGTCAATTTTTCCTAGAAATAATCTGAATAGCTTACAGCAGGGATGCTCGACCCTTAGCCTGCAGGTCAGCTCTAGCCCACAGATCTCCCCATGGATCCTGGACTGTCTACTAGATAGGCATGCTGGTAAGTGTGAGACCCAGTCCTGGGGCAGAGGCTGGGCTCGGGCAGCATGGGGCCCCCAGAGCCTCATTCTGGCCAGGTGGGGCAACAGAGTCCTACACTGCCTCTGCCTTGCCCCCCATGACCTGGGATTGGTCCCCAGGGACCAGTGCCAACCCCACCCAACCAGGATCAGCCTTCAGCAGGGCTGAGGTGGTCAAGGGCACCAGAGGCGAAGCAGAGCCTGATCTGGCCCATGGGTCAGGCCTGCGCCATTCATCTGGCCTACAGGGTCCAGACTGAGAACCACTGACTCAGTGTAGGGGAAATTTTGGGTATGTAAAGCCTGTGCATTTTACTTATTCAACAAATAGTGTAGCATTCTATGATTATTACTACACTTTTTTTCCAGTGCTGTCAGTGTGCAAGACCTTCCAGTGCTTTATGCACATTCTTGAATGTGTGATTTCATAGCCAGTTTCCTACTGCTTTCTCCATCCCCTCCCTGAAGCACTAAAGAATTTTTTTTAACTGATTGATGTTTGTTGCTGACTTGCATGTTCAAACAGAGTTTAGATTTGTATTAGGTATCTTTCAGGAAAAGTATTAAGACAGTCAGCCATACTCTGTAGAAGTCAGTGAAATTGTGCCATTTTTCAATGGAAATATTAATTGTATTCTGAGATCAAGAGAAAGTGACTGTTAGATGGAGGATTAAGTATTGGCTTTACCATTGTTTTTCCAGTAATTAGTAAGTCAGTTTTGTTGCCAGGCACTTTGCAATCCATGAGCTAAGCATGTAAACAAACTATCGTTCAAAGGGCAACACACTGTTTAGTCTTGAATGCTTTTTAAAAATTATAGGTGAACTTCCTTTATCAAGGTTTGCATGGGAAGCAGAATATTTTGCGTGTTATTGAGCAGGAATCCAAGGCTGGCAGCAGCTACCCAGGGCCTGAGCCCGCTGCAGAGGCAGTGCCAGCCTGTTCCCAGTGTTGGGGGAGGTTCAGGGAGGACTGCTCTGCAGGCAGGAGTGGAACAGGCTGAGTTACTGGTCTGGGTAGTGCTGGAGGAGTGGCTATGGGGGGCTAAGGAAAATTTTGGGGTGGCTATAGCCACCCTAGTGCCACCCTTGCAGCTGGCTCATGGGCAGATGGGGCTGAGTCTCAGTGGGCCACACTGCAGCCTGAGCTGGCTCCCCAGTGAAACACAGGGGCTGTGGCAGGCGTCGTTGGGTAGTCCGTCTTTGTTCTGCGGCCCAGCAGCACAGCCATGTGTGTGCAAGTGTTCATGTGTCTGTTTGTTTGTGTGCGTGTCTAGTTCTGTGTGGGTGTTTCTGGTTTTGTGTGCGTGAGTCTGTGTGTCTGGTTCTTTGTGTTTCTTTCTGCATGTGCATGTCTGCACATGTGTGTTTGGTTCTGGGCATGTGTGCATGTCCACATGTGTCATTGCTTGTGTGTCTGCTTTTCTGTTAGAATGCATGTGGTTCTATGTTTTTGCACGTGCATGTGTGTGTCTGGTTCTCTAATATCACAACATGCTTAGCAAAAAAAGAATACACAGCAATAAAGGGTAGTGTATGAAGTTCTGTTTATTGTTACCAGGTTTCAAATTTTTAAAAAACCTGGTATTTACTGTTTTAAAAAAACAAGCAGCATTTATGATTATTAACTATATTAATATGCAGTGCATCCTGCCATGTACCCCCCACTCCAGTTTTTTTTTCCTGGCATTCCAGCACCTTACAAGGTAGACATTGTGTTTTTTTCGGCACTCTGACCAAAAACATTGCCTACTGCTGTTGCAGAGGTTATTCTGTGATATTGGTTTATGGTATATGGTATTTAGTCTTCAAAAAGGATGCCACTTCATGATCTGCTTTAACTGGACCCAGTAGTGCACACATACAAAGATAATTTTAAAGGAATTGCTGATAATGCCACTTTCTTTATAGTTTGGTTCTAAATTCCAAGTTGTTCTTTGGACTTGCCTTGAAGCAAAGTAATCATATTGTTTCCTAGCTCAAAAGGTATGCCGTCACAATTATAATTTACAGGTGTACAGTAAAAGTTCTGTTATCTGGCATCTTACAAGCCAGCATGCTCCACTAACTGGCATGCCTGCTTGTAAGATAAAGTGAAACTGGAAGTGCCCACCCTGGCACTTACAGTTTCTCCGGCCCCCATTGCTCAGGGCAAAGTAGCCTGTGCTGCAGAGCCCCCATGACCCCGGGGGCATAACAGGTTGTGCGGAACCTGCCTCCCTGTTCTGTGGCCCCGCAGGAGGGGTGGCGATGCCATGGGAGGGGCAGAGGGACACCTCAGATGTGGTGTGAGACGCAGCGGCCAGGGCCACTCAGTTAACCAGCATATTTTGTTATTCAGCATCCCCTGTTCCTGGGGGATGCCGGATAACAGAGTTTTTACTGTATATTAGTTTTGGCTTGTAACAGCGTTAATGTGATGTTTGTTTGTTTAACTTTTACAGCTTTCCCATGGTTTGGTATGGACATTGGGGGAACCCTGGTGAAACTTGCATACTTTGAACCAATTGATATCACTGCAGAAGAAGAGCAGGAGGAAGTTGAAAGCTTGAAGAGTATCCGCAAATATTTGACTTCCAATGTAGCCTATGGATCCACTGGCATTCGAGATGTCCACCTTGAACTGAAAGACTTGACACTTTTCGGCCGAAAGGGAAACTTGCACTTTATTCGATTCCCAACTCATGACTTGCCTACTTTTATTCAAATGGGAAGAAATAAAAACTTTTCAACGCTACACACAGTGCTTTGTGCCACAGGAGGTGGTGCTTATAAGTTTGAAGAAGACTTTCGCACAGTAGGTAGTCTAACTTTGCTAGTATTGTAGACAGTGTAAAAGCTTGGGCTGTGGCTGGTTAATTGGTATACAACAGGTAGTAGGAATCATTTCAGTTCTTGTGCGTTAAATAAGTGAGTAATTCGATAGACGTTAAATCAGTAACCTCATAGAAATGTGATTCCTGGTGTGTACAATTGTTAGTCTCAATTATTTATATTATGTATAAATAAGGAAGATGGTCTTGATTACTGTTAGATCTGATCTTGAAAGCCAACTGGAAAATTCCATTCATGTAATGAAATAGGTTGCAGTACCTAGATATAAAGAGAGATCTCACTTGTTCTAAAATCTTTTTCACTTCTTGTTTTCTGTTTTGGGAGGCACTTGAGTTTAAACCTTTGTGTCATTATGCTTATTCTGGACCTTCTGTCCTATACAGTCATTGGTAGCTCTTCCTAGTCTTTCTGTGAAGTGACTTTAATCTGCTGTTCCACTTTTGTAGAGTGAATCAAGTCTAAGGAGACTAGTCTGATACATTGTTATTATTCTGTAACACAATAAACAGTTTCTACAGGGGATTCTTTTTTGCCAGGAATTTTAAAATGCTTCTTAACTCCTTCTGGCAAAAATGGCTATTTTTATATTTCAACTATTGTGTATGTTGTTAAACAGGTGGGCTTCTGAAACAGTATCTGAAATGAAGAACTCCCTTTTTGCATTTCACCTATTGTTTTAAAATGTCTTCAGATTTCTCCTGTAAGATTCTAAAATAAAAAAAATAATAAAAAAAGCACACCATTTTAATAGACTAGAACCAGCATTGCAACAAAGGTCTGTCAGATTTTTGGTCGAGGAAGGAGAATCCTTATTCTGCTAGTTGACAGTTATCCAGGCCAAACATTATAATACAAGCCAGGGTCTAGTCCAGGGGCGGGCAGTTATTTTGGGTGGAGGGCTGCTTACTGAGTTTTGACAAGCCATCAAGGGCTGCATGACAGGCAGCCCAGCGCAGGTAAATATTAATTTTCTAAATTTTTCAGGGGCCCTGCGGGCTGGATAGAATGACTTGGCGGGCCACATTTTGCCCACCCCTGGTTTAGTCTATACTGCAGAACAGCTGGAAAATCTGCTGTTTAAACTCTGACCGTGCACATACTTAAAGCATCTTTGCTGGTGGCAGAGTAAAGTTTCCTCCACCAAACTGAGTAACGTTTCTGTCACCGTCTGGTAGGTAGCAGAAGCTGGGTGTAGACACTGCTGCTTGCCATCATACTGTCAGAAGCTGAGGCCTCCCTGCAGTGCAGTTAATGTTCTGCAACACAGCAGAGCTGCCAGAAGAGCATGGATGTATGTGGCCTCTGCTCATTGAGATGACTGCTGTGTGAACTTCTGGCACCAAGGCCTGCATCTTAGATTTCTTGAGATCCTTGAAGTGGTGGTCTAACTAAAGCTTTTAAACATTTGAGGCATTTATATTTTGTCACTTTACAAATGAATGTTTGTGTTCAAGATGGTTCCGGAGGTAATAGAAAAAGCTAAGTAGGTTTGCAAATATGTTAAATTGACTGAGAATATTTGAGGGTGATTTTGGGGGTGTTTGCTAAAAATCTGGTCTGGAATGACCCAGAAAAAAGCTAGTAATTTTTTTTTTTTTTACAGTGGCTTAAAGCTCGCCTCTCTTGCTCAGTGGTAGCAAAATAGCTTACTAAGTTCTAGTCCAGTGAAAGGTTATTTTACTGTCATATAGTAGCAAGAAGAAGGCATGTATAGACAGTTGCATGCTTTTTGTTGGTTGCCGTTTTCCCCTTGGCATCTGGGATAATGCCCAGAATACACTTCATACTGGAAAAGCTACTGAGCAGCAGTGTATGGCACCACCAGAATGAAATAGATTTGCATTTGTGCTTGTGTTTGGCAGTAGTGGTTGCTAACTGGCGTGAGCTGAAAGCAAAGGCATCTGCATATAGGTAAGACCAACATACCTATTGTATGAATTACTAACATTGCCCTTTTCTTTTTCACAGATTGGAAACCTGCAGCTGCACAAACTGGATGAGCTTGACTGCCTTGTCAAAGGATTGTTGTATATAGATTCAGTCAGTTTTAATGGCCAGGCAGAGTGCTATTACTTTGAAAATGCCTCGGAACCTGAGAGATGCCAAAAGATGCCTTTTAACCTGGATGACCCATACCCACTGCTGGTTGTAAATATTGGTTCAGGAGTCAGTATTTTAGCAGTCCATTCCAAAGACAACTACAAGAGAGTAACTGGAACAAGGTAGTGATTTTAAACAGCAAGTTATAATTGGTACACAGAATAATGAGTCTCATATTAAGTTTTCAAACAACTGCTTCCTGCAGTTCCCAGTATGAAAATTGAGTAACTTTACTTATTGGAAAATATTTCCCTGGAACTACAGTTCTAAATCATTCTATATTTTTGTTCAGTTAGCTTGACAGATGAAGTTCACATAAACACTTTTATCTTGATTCACAGTTAACTCTTTAGCAAGCAAGTTGCACTGTGTACTAATCTATGACCTAATGCAGAGATCATTAATTAATTAAAGGAATTACCATGTAAAAGTAATTATTTCTTTTTTAATTAGTCTAGGTGGAGGGACCTTTTTAGGTTTATGCAGTTTATTAACTGGCTGTGAAAGTTTTGAAGAAGCTCTTGAAATGGCATCCAAAGGGGATAGTACACATGCTGACAAGCTGGTCCGTGATATTTATGGAGGAGACTATGAACGATTTGGCTTGCCAGGATGGGCAGTAGCATCTAGGTAAGCAAAGACTTGCTTGTTGCCTTATAACAAACTGCTGTTGAGAATCCCTTCCTCCCCTTCCCCTCCCCCCCATTAATACAGAAATGGAAGGATTTTAAAGAGATGTTAGTTCACTATCACTTATCAGGAATAATTGCTTTTTGTGTACTTATTTTTACAGCTAATTAAACTGTGTTTGTATTTAAATATACATACTCTTATGAGATTTTTAAAATCATGTGAACACATCTGATTGCTGGCAAGAGAGGAATACTACAATAGTTGCCTTTTGTAGAATATTGTGACCCCAGCAGCTGAAACACAGCCTCGTATGCAAATATATATATATATTTTAATGCCCTAAGTGACACATCAGAAGAGAGTCAAGGAAAAAAAAAGAAAAAATTGTTAAAGCTCCTTGATGAATTTTTAGCATTTTTGGCCAAGGTCTTTGAGAATGTAGTAGCCAGTATTTAACCTGCCACCATTTTTCCTCTCTTTTGCAATCTCTTCCTTTCTAGATTGATTTCACTTGTTTTTGTACATGTAGATCAGCCAGTCGAACTGTTGCAAAATATTTTAGCCATTGTTTTTATTTATATATTGCATATAAACACAAAGCATAGGAACGATTTATTTTTAATTGTGATTTTTGAGGGTTTTTTGATTGTGAAATATCTTTGGGTGTTTTCTGACACTTTTTTTGCAGCAGATACTTTGGGGATACTCTGGGAAATTTTAAACAAATTAATTTACAATGTGGGTTTACTGAGAATAAATTAAAGCTGCTGTTACTCCAAGTGAACATTTTTCATTGTAGGTTAATCCCTCTGCAGTCAATTAAGGCAAATAGATAAATTTTGAGCAATAACGTCCACACAGTGGCTTAATACGTGCTGATTTCACAGCTATGACCCCCTGCCCCTATTACAGTACTTTGTTTTGCCCATTCATAAGTTCGAGGTTTGGAATAGCTAGCAGTGAGAGAAGTTAGAATTTCAGCTGTTGTCACTATAGCTTAGTCTATGTTACAAGGCTTAGTCTGCCCTGAGAGTTTTGCTGGCATAGCTGCACGTGGGATCTTTTCACACTTCTAGTCAGCTTAACTAAGTCAGCAGAACTTTTTGATGTAGACAAAGCCAGAGTCACTAGTGGTGAAGTTAATATGCATATTTTAAGGAATCGTTGACTTAGTGTTGTTCAACTTGGAAAGTTTTGGGCTTCTGTAAATTAATTGCCACAATTTGTCAGCTCTGGGAGTTGCTTTTCATTTCAACATATGAACTTATCACTCAGTTCTGGGCTTTAGTGTTTCTCTGTATTAAACGTTCAGAATAACTGATTATTCTGCAGCTTCTGTCAAACCCAATTGTTAGCTCGTCACAATGTTTTGTAAGTGTAAAGCTGTTTTAAGCCAGTTTCAGTTCGGTGGGTAATTATGCCACCAGCAAATTTGACGGTTGGGCAGTCCTCCAACAGCAGCCAGTTAATACTTCACTCTGCAAGCTTGCTTATTAGTTGGTCTGTGCTTCATTAGCTTCTAGGTATTTGGAAGCTGGAACTTGGGAGAAACTAGAGAGGAAAGGCTAGTGAACTTGAAGCAGACAGTTTTTAATATGGACAAATAATGCACTTACTATCAGTCTTTCTGCTGACTATCAACTGTTTCTATGGATGTTTGAATTTATTTTTCTCTTTAAACGGGCTCTTCCTCCCCAGGGAAATTTTTTATTTCTATTTTTTATATTAAGTTGGCATCTCCTGTATGCTATCTCTCTCTGCTTTTTCTCTTCTGGGATTTCATGACGCTTCCAAAATGAATACCAATTTCAGTTTTGGAGTGTTTTATAGTGAGTAAATGTTCTCTTATTTACATGCCCCTCAGTTTTGCTTCAGCTACCTGGAGAGCAACATAAGGATTACATGTGAAGTGAGGAATAAAGGCTGACTTTTCAGAAGCTGCAGAATTGGCTGTCGAGACTCAGAATTAGTTCCCTGTGCTTTGTCTAGCATGGAATAGTAGCACCCAGGAAAAGGAAACATCGGCTGGAGATGTTTCCTCCAGCATCTCTAAACCAATAATGGTTGGTGCCAGGGAGGGTATTGAATAGGGGAGATCATTCTAGGTATATCCAGTTCAGTGCTCTCTCTCCATAGCATCTACTCCTGCTGCTGTCAGCAATGGGGTACTGGGCTGGATGGGCGATTGGTCTGACCCAGTACCGCACCTCCTACGTTCTTACTTTCTAAAATAATGTGACAAGCTATATCTTCATTAAATTTCATAGCCTAAAAAGAAGGATTTAAGTTTATGGGGGCTCATTTTCTTAGCTGGTCTGGAAATTTCCAGAAAAGAAAGAGAAGCAACAATAAATACATCATAATCTCAGTTGTTAAATTATCATCTTTTAATGAAGATTTGGAAGAAAAAAAAAAAAAAGATTATTTAAAATTTGGAATAAATAGGAGATGTAAGGGCAGATAAATTAAATTAATTACTTCCAAGGAAAAAAGGGACTGGGATTTAATGCATGGTATCTGCTGCACTGTGATTGTCCATGTGCATGCTCTCAGCCCATGACAGGTGAAAGGTAAAGCTAGCATGGTTTAGCATTCATCTGCCACAGGGTAAAAGCATGCCCTGAGGCAGCTACCGTAAAGCAGCTGACTCATAGAAAGTAATTTGTATACCCATCCCCCTAAATCTGCTCTCGGCATGGAAACTATACTTAAAACCTGTTGTAAATGCAAAATGTATCATTCTGTACTTTTTCCCCCGCCCCCTCTTTTTTCCAGTTTTGGGAATATGATCTACAAAGAGAAGAGAGAATCTGTTAGTAAAGAAGACCTGGCTAGAGCCACACTGGTTACCATCACCAATAACATTGGGTCTATAGCACGGATGTGTGCTGTTAATGAGGTAATCTCAAAGGAGGGTGGGAGAAGTGTCAGAAAAACTTTATATTCTTACTGTGGGGTCTCCAGTTACTTGAACTGCTAATATTTAACAGTTGTCCTCTCAAGTCGGTTACCACATTTTCAGATGAAGCAAACAGACTTCCATTGGCTCTGCAGCAGTTCAGAATGCCTTTGAAGATTCATCTGGCTTGAGAATTCATTCTCTAGTAGTAATAGCAATCGGGAAGTTAGCATGGATTCAGCAAGGGCAGGTAATGCCTAACTAACCTGATTGCCTTCTGTGATGAGAACTGGTTCTGTGGAGGCGAGGAAAGCAGTGGATGGGATGTAAGGCTTTTGATACAGTCTCCCGCAGCATTCTTGCAAGCAAGCTAAGGAAGTATGGATTGGATGAATGGACTGTAAGGTGGGTAGAAAGCTGACTGGATCATTGAGCGCAGCGGGTAGTGCTCAATAGTTAAATGTCTAGTTGGCAGCTGGTTTCAAGTGCAATGCCCCAGGGGGTCAGTCCTAGGGCTAGATTTGTTCAGGATCTTCATTAATGATCTGGAAGATAGGATGGAGTGCACCCTCAGCAGGTTTCCAGATGACACCAAGCTTGGGGGGAGTAGTAAATATGCTGTAGGTTAGGGCTAGGATTCAGAGTGACCTAGACAAATTGGAGGATTGGTCCAAAAGAAATTGCATGAGTTCAACAAGGACAAGTGCAAAGTCGTGTACTTGGGACAGAAGAATCCCGTGCACTGCTACAGGCTTGGGACCAACGGACTAAACAGCAGCTCTACAGAAAAGAACGTGTGGGTTACAGTGGACAATAAGCTGGGTACGAGTCAGTGGTGTGCCCACGTTACCAAGAAGGCTAGCAGCATACTGGCCTGCATTAATAAGAGCGTTGCGAGCAGATGGAGAGAAGTGATTCTTCCCCTCTATTTGGCACTGGTGAAGCTACATCTGGAGTACTGTGTCCAGTTTTGGGGGGCCCCTACTGCAGAAAGAATGTGAACAAATTAGCAAGAGTTCAGCATAGGGCAGTGAAAAATGGTTAGGGGATTGGAGTACATGATTTCTGAGGAGAGACCAAGGTGAACTGGACTTCAGTCTAGAGAAGAGAAGACTGAGAGGGTATTTGATAGCAGCCTTTAACTACCTGAAGGGCGTTTCTAAAGAGGATGAAGCTAAACTGTTCTCTGTGGTGGCAGATGATAGAACAAGGAGCAATGGTCTCCAGTTGCAGCAAGGGAATTTTAGGTTGGATATTAAGAAAAACTTTCTCTCTAAGAGAGTGGTGAAACCCTGGAATGCATTACTTAGCAAGGTGGTGGAATCTCCATCCTTGGCAGTTTTTAAGGCCTGGCTCAACAAAGCCCTGGCTGCAGTGATCTAGTTGGGGATGGTCCTGCTTTGAAAAGGGTTGGACCAGATGACCTGCTGAGGTCCCCTTCCAATCCTGATTTTGTATAATATATGAATAATAAATGAAAGTCTTCTCCCATTTAAAAATGTGGTGAAAAAAGCATTGGGTTTTGCTGAATTTGAGCTGTTTTATAAAAATAGTTTTTAACTATTGCAAAATTTCACTTTTGAAACATCAGTTGCCATGAATCTGAAGAAGGATTGCTCCGTTGCATCTTCTCAGAGATTTGTCTCATAGTCCCAGAATAAATTTGAGGATTATTTCCGCTACCGTTTGCATAGAACTGTGAATAGCAATGAGAGCCAAGAAACAAGAAATATAGAGGCCCTAGAACTGCACAGTGAAGGCTGGAATAGGAAAGAAGACTGGAAGAGGAGAAGGCTTTTTCTACTTTGGTAGTCAGCAAGATGGAGCGTAGCTTCCAATGAAGATGCTACTAGCCACTATAAAAAAAGAAATAAGAGAGTGTCTTCATCTCCATTGGTGATCCCTCCCTCACTTTCTTTAGTATTTAACTTCTTCCAGTAAAGGGCTTTTGGGGTGGGGGGTTGGGTCTTTGCTTTCTTACAAAGAAAAGCCTACATTAAAATGGGAAGGATAAGAGTACACATTAGTAACTAAAAAATATAATAAGCAAAGGAAATCAAATTGTTATACCTTAAGTATGTGAATAAATAAACCCCAGTAATCCAGTAAACCCCTAGACTGACCTTAATTCATTCCAGTAATGATGCTATGTAATAACTGTAAGATTCTGATTAAATATAATCTGGTCCCAGGTTAAACTCTTCTTAAAGAGCTTCATTTTCCCCACACCACCACTGAGCAGAGTTAATAAATATTTCTGTACCTTAAAATTAACTTCTCACAATGAAAAGGGGATTAGGCAGATAAGTGTTATTCCTTTGAGCACAGGTAACAGATGGACATGCCACAAGTTTTATCCTAATTTGAATGAATATTCATATGTCACTAGTAGGTGCTCTAGTAAAATATTCTCCTATTTTATATGTTTAATTCTCAGTCTCATTCAGTCACTGGAGCTTAATCTCATCAGTTTTATTTTCAGTTCAAATGTCTCCACAATTGGAGAATACGGTGAAGAAACTGAAAATTAAATTTGACTACGTTTATCACTTGCCTAGTATGCATTTTAATTTCATTTCTAACAGTCTTGTTCTGCATGTGTTAAGAGCCAGGGAACATCTGTAATATCTCAATGTCTTTGGCTTCTTTACAGTGCTGCCTTGTTGCATATGGATCAAGCAGCATTGTACAGGGCTATGAAGACACTGAGTCTTGCTCTACCACAAATAAGATATTTGGTTTAGTTGTACTTTTTGTTTGGATTGTTTCACTTTTTTTGAATAATTCCTATTTTGTAAAACTGTGCAACCTTAGATTTTAAATGTCTCTACTACTGATCTTTTCTGTTAGTTCTGGAATGCTTTAAAGATTGAACCGAAATTATATACTGATAGATGTGACAACTTATTTTTATGTCAAAGATTTGTAAAGCTGCTCTGGATACTGGAATTATATAATGCTCAATTTTTTTCTTTCTGCTTTAGAAAATAAACAGAGTTGTCTTTGTTGGCAATTTTTTACGTGTGAATACTTTGTCAATGAAGCTTCTTGCATACGCACTGGATTACTGGTCAAAAGGCCAGCTAAAAGCTCTGTTCCTAGAACATGAGGTATGTTATAAACACTTACAAATAAAGAAATTCTTACTTGTAATCTCCAACCCACCTCTTAAAAGTAATATCCAGACACCCATCAGATACTCAGAATGCTCACAATAGTGTTAATTTTCAATAAGTAGTTTTGATTAGGGGGTCATGAAGAATCAATAGGCAAATTTTAATGGTGAAGTTTGTCCTATTAGGATGAGGAAATCTTCTGGTCAGTTGAACACCTAGGCATTTCACTACCACGTCTACAAGCAGTGAAGGGATTTGAAAAGGTTATGCATCATTGAAGTTTGATGGCAAATAGCCTCAAGAACTGAACATGTCAGAAAAATTAAACCCTTTGTAGTGCATGCATTGAACATGCATGGTCTCCGTTTTACCTGAATTCATTTTTATGCTGTGTTAACTTATGCTAATTTTTTGAGAACTCTGGGATATATGGAGCTACTAGATGTCGTTTACATAACATTACTTAACAATATTTCCATCTTGCAGCTCCATCTTGATATGTAAAGTTGATGGTAGGTGTTAGTATTCTAGGTCTTGCAGAAGCAGTTGCCTGTATCAGTTCTCTGGGTCAGTTCAAAGTAGGACTTGAAGGGAAAGACTTTAGTCATTTGAGGAAAATTCCATTTGCCCCATAGTTTATTGGAGACAATGCAGAAATATTTTAATGCCATCAACTTCTGCTGAAGAGGTTTCTTTCCTTTCCTTTCTGAGTAGATGATTATTCAACAGGGCAATAAGTATGGGATGCATCTTTCTGCAGCCTTACAGTTTGAGGGATGTAAAGAAGTGGCACTGACTGGACATTTATACTATACTTTGTTAGCATATTTTCACATCTTGAAAGGTCACAGGTCAGAATCCTAGTTGACCTTTTAATCTTTATACAACTGCTGCTTACAGTGAACAGTTCAAATTTCAGGAAAACCATTTGTTTACTTTTAGTGGTGGTCTAACACCTGACTACAGGTACATTCTGCAAAATTAGCTGATTCTTCATATTGAGAGAACATGTCCTGGTTTGACTGCAGGTAAGTCTTATGGTTCAGCCAGGGTGTCAACTTGTTGCCTCTTGGAAGATGACCAGTAAACTCTGATAGATCTACTACAAGCCTACAGAATGCCAGTGGTATATGACATTCAGTATCAGATCTTTTTAGTTGATCAATTCTCCATTTTTTCCCTTTTAGTTCCAGTTTGAATATGGAACCAAGATGACTGTTGGAGCAGGCATCTCAGTGATAGTATCTGTAGTTGTTAGTTGTACTTCCTTGCTAATTGTCTGTGGGTTTTGCTTGGTTTGGTTTTAGATTCTGGTATTTGGCAAGGTCTAGAAGTCTCTGGAGATCATAATAGTGCTCTTTTAGCATTTTTTCCAATTAAGTGCGAGAAGGGGTTTTATAACAAAGGCATGGCTCTTGCGTTTGTCTGCAACATAAAGATTCAGTCCAGAGTGTAGCTTGCTATGTTTGGGCCTTTCCAAAAACAGTTTTATTCTATGGTCATTGTCTCTTGCTTCAGTGAGTTCTAGAGTGTAGGCCACTACTGAGCAGGGGCAGAACTTACACTATCAAGCTACTTACTACTAGTAGATGTTACCTGTAGGAGACTAGGGTGGAATTAGGAGGAGAAGTTTAGAGTAGTACATTGGTGTGAATGTTAAAGGTCACAGGGCAGTTGTCATTTCTCAGTTCTTCTGAAAAGCATTTGCTGTGTGTGGTCAAGTATCATTGATACATGCCTGGAAATGCTTAAGATACATTAGTAAATGAAAGAGTCTAATGAGATTCATAAATTTTAGGGAAAAGAGTCAAGTAGGGCAAGCATTCTTTTAAGAGCAAAGGGTTTGTGTTTGTAGAGCTTTGGAAACTTCGCATGAAGGACAGTGTAGCACAAGTAAACGTTCTTTTCAAGTCCTCACTTTGGGTTAAGAAATGTATATCTGAATACTGAATTTTAAATGTTATGGTTCAAACTTAGAATGACAGCTCTTTTCTTTAAATAAACAGGGGTATTTTGGAGCTGTTGGTGCTCTTCTTGGGTTGCCGAATTTCAGCTGAAGTCCCAGATGTCTTTACGCTGAGCTGCTTTCCACTTGGATGACATTACTGCATTGTTTAAATCAATGGGAACCAAAGGAAAAAAGCAGTGGTTTTACTGTAAATGTTTTTAAATTTAAAAGTGGTAAGCTGCTGGATATTGCCATTTTAATGAAGTGGAATCTTGCCATGTTTGGGCATTTATAAGTAAAATATTAGAGGGGTTTGTTTGATGTACTCCAGTACACATAACCAGTATTGAACTTTTAATATGCAATACATCCTCTGAAAAACAAGCTTCCAAAAGAGAGAATTCCAGCTCCTTATGTGTCTGGCACAAAATATTTTGGGCTTTAATGCTAAACAAATCTGTTTTGTATGTAATCTGATGTAGATGGTTTATTAATCTATTTGTTTTAGTCCTTGTTAGCCTTGTTCTAACAGCAGAATTTCCGTTGTACGTTTCAAAACATTGACTTAAAAAAAGGGGTGTCATCAACAAAAGGAAAAAGAAAAGTTGTATGTAGTTTAAAAATGTCTTCTTATAACGACAGTAAAGTGTTACGGCATTAAACACACTTCAGTAATCATGGTATTTGATATAAAACAGGGAGGAAATACAAAAAAATCTCCTTGCCTTGTAAGCAAAAAGCAGAGAAGGGCAGTAGCAGCTACTACTGCAACTGTACTTTTATCTGTGTTTCTGAGGATATGTGGTTGCTCAAATCAGCAGCACGTGGGGAATCTTGGCAAGACCACCTCTGTGAACTAGGTTTGAGTCGAAGAACAGGAAGGCTTTAGAAAGGACCTGTCTAGATCAAGCAAACTCTTGATTTCCACCACTTTCAATATCAAATCCACCATAAAACCTGGCAGAGTTTATAGAATCTTCCCAAAAGAGACTAAGGACTAAAATAGCAGTAGTGTTTGTAAATCTGTTTGTAAATCTGAAGTGTCGATCATCTTTATGAGTAATCAAGCATAGCTTCAATTCCTTTTTTACTGGTTTGAAGGATGGTTAGTTCTTCATTTTTTAGATGTATTCTCAAATTTGAGCTTATTAAAAAAATAACAATATTTTTATACATGTATTTGGAATTGGAGGTTTGTTTACAATGGCTTCAGAGTTTGTATTGCAATGTCAAAAGGACCAGTATTCAGTACACTTGGCAATAATTGGAACTGCGTATTGAACTGTGGCCTTGGGATAAATTCCATATTTTGTAACTAGTCATTTTTTGCCTGAATATTTCGTTCTCACAGTGGTTTAAAAATTTACAGTAGTGTATTTACTGTGATGTCTAGTGCTGCAGTGAGATGAGCTACTAGATTAGAAAGACCATTTCGGAGATCGTCAGCTAGGTGCTAGCATATTTAGTGTCTCTAATAAGAAATGTCCAGCTTTTACAGTACATTGAGAGAGGTTTTTTCTTTTGAATATAAAGGAAACATCAGAATAAAATGTACTGATAAATTAGATTTTCATGTTTGTAAATGAGTGTTAGTCTAAAAAGTAAAATAAAATGAAAAAGATTAATAGACAATTCCAGAATGTTGCTATATTCCATTATAGCAGCATCTGAACTTTTTAACCATATTTCCTAATCCACTATGTACACGGAAAGGACTGAATGTACTAGGTAAAACTTGTCTTTCTCTTCTTTAAGTTGAACTCCTTTTAAACTGGAGATTTTAGAAATTCCTACAGTCCCAAAGTGCAGTGATTTGTACAAATAGCCACTTTATTCAACTTGGAACAGTGCCAACTTCAGACATAGTTTGATTGTTATTGCTGCTGGGTACTGAAGGCAGATATCCATTTTGAGTATATTGAAATATTGCTTCAGTTAGAAAATGGAAAACCTCATTCTCCAAGTGATCCTATTTTGAAGGCTATCTTCAGTCTGTGAAGCAGATGAGCACATCTGGAGTAACATGTCTCTCTAAAAGCTGCTACAAGTTTCAAGCGATGATGTAGTACAAGAAGTATAATATAGTGGTTTGTAAGGGTAGTTCATTAAAACACATTTATTCTATACATTTTCCACAAAGGAAAATGTTTTTGAAGATTTATTGTAGGAACCTCATACAGAGTTTCGCATCCTGTATTCATGGCATTCCTAGATGTTGGAGCACTTCTGTCTCATTCTTCTTGCAGTTCTTCGCAAGAAACAGTTCAGCTAGTCCAGATAAATTGTGAGATAATTTATTCTCTATATATCCTGTAGTACTGAAACACAACCTAAAAATTGCTTTTGAAATAGTAATTAAAAGTAATTTATATATACTGACCAGCAGATATTAAAGTAAGATTTAGTCGCAACTTTCCTTTTTCATTCTAGTCTTTTTAGGATGTCTGTCTAACAGAGAGATTACCCTGGTCAATTCAGGACATAATTAATCAGTTCTGGAATAACAGACAGAACATGTTGACAATTTAGGAATAATCTTTTTCTCTTAAATTTGAAAAAGATGGTTTCCGATCTATAGTTCCATCAGTATAATTATGTTGACCTCTCCAAGAAATATCAGACAAGTTTTCTGCCCCTAATCTACAATAAGAGTAATTCACATCAATAAGGATTATGTTCAGGACAGTTTTTGCAATGTGTTCGGCTGTTCTTTCAAAACAGAAAATTTGTTGCTCCTTTTGTCATCCAAGTTGATAGGTATTACAGATATCTATATATAGATATATACAAATGCAGAGGCTGCTCCAATGCACTGGAATTCTACTGTGTGGGAGCAGTCTCGATTAACTGAGTCTGCTGGAGCATGGTAATTACTGCACTCCAGGTGCCTCCTGTGTCTCATGTATCAGCATCCCTGCACTTAAAATTGGCAGCAGGGGCACTTAAAGTTGATTCAAAGAGCTTTAGTTCAAATGTCCCCGTCACCTTTTTTAAGTGCAAGGATGCTGCTACACGAGACGCAGTGGTGCTTTAATTAGAGGGGCTCTTGAAGTCACTCTAATTAAAGCTCCACCATCACCACCACCCCTGGAACATGTATAAAAGTGCCCTGTGAGATTAGCTTTAGATCATTTAATCTGGATTCCTGTGTACAATGTAAAAGTCTGTACTCTCTCTGTACAGCAGAGTGATTTGATTCTTCTTCATATTTGCTGTTGTTACTTCGCATTTAATATTTCTGCCTCTGAGCTAGTCAGTGCCCCTTTGCTGTAAATTGAATCAAGTAGCAGCTGAATCTAGCAGAGGAAGCGCAGCAAATGCTTTGTCAAATGTACAGGTTTTCTGAACTGTTCTCTCTTCCAGTGGGACCATTTCCTTCAAAGAACAGATTTTTTTTCCTCCTTTAAAGGAAGAAGCAAGCTCATTCTGAGTGTAGTAACACCCAGATAAAGCAACCACATGAGTGCCTTTCATTTCTCATATGGTGCCAACAATGCTGGATTTGCTAGCTTTGGAACTTAGTGCAGGAGCATTCCTGGCAATAGTTCTACTGTTTTCATTCTGTAACACTAAAGATGTCAACAATAATACTGTTATCAGCATTGTAAATGATCTCTCAGACCTGACACAGAACAGTCAGGAAGATGATACAAGTTTGTTGGTCTCCCATCCTCCTGGCAAGCTATTCTACTTTTGTTGGAATCATTACTTAAACTAGTCTCTTTTCATTCATCCCTCTCATTTGGCCCTGCCCCAGGTGTCACTTCCAACTTTAAGGGGTCATTGTCTCTCTGCAGTGGTGTTAACTTTTTAGCCACCTAAGTTTAGGCAATTTCTATATCAGACACTTCATTATTATATGAAAATACCATTATGGTCTGGCTGGTATGGTAGAAAATCTTTAACTACTTCAAAAACCTTCCCAAATCTGCTTAAGGGAGCTAACCACTTTAAATGAGAAGCAATATTGCTCTGGTGCATTTTGGACTGTTAACACATTGGGGTAAATATAGTATTTCTGTAAGTATTTTTCTGCTGAGTCCTTTTTAATGAATCCATTAGATTGTTGCCACTTGCACAAACAACTTCCTAGAAGGGCTCATTAAATTTAGACTCTAGGCAAGAGTAGCAGTATGGATAACTTTTCTTTCCCTTTTATTCTTTTAAGAGCTTTGTCAGAGGTCCTCAGAGGTACTTAGGCACCTTTTGAGGATGTCAGCCTTTTTTCTTTGATTGACATACTTCCAGCAACAAATTATCCATAAGGTCCTGTCGGCACTTCATAAAATACCCTCTGACACTATTTAAATTAATGGCATTAATAGAGTTAGAAGCCAGGTTGTACTATTAGCTTAACCTGTGTGTTAGAAATTGAAGAGAAGTGTAACTATAGTCCTTCTAAAGGTATTATTAGGACTGTTAATCTTATTTGAGGAGTTACATTTCTCTTGCTTTTAAGTGGCGGTTAGTACGTATCCTGTGTATCTAGGTTGAGGTATTCCTTGTTCCTTTAGCTTGGAGAAAATAGTCTTTGTTACACCACAGCTTTTATATTTTTCCTGAACCAATGTAGGTCCAAACATTTGTATTTTTTAGAAACCAATCCATTTCAAGTAATGGTGGCAATAAATTATCTTCCCTAAATGTTTCAGGAAAGTGGTGAGAGTTTGCTTTCATGTAATTCAAGTGCTTTCATTTGGAGCAAAATAATGTGTTCTGTAAAGTGTCCAGTGTCTCATATAATTATTCAGCTTGCACTCATGCCTCTGTACTGCTTTATAAATATATTGCATTCATTATGCACCCTCTGAAACAACTGATATTGTAAGAAGACAAGATGTCTTTGATTCTGTTCAGAATTGTGCTAAGACAATTTTGTTTAGCATTTAAAGCAAAAAAAATTATTATGAGTGTGTCAGTACAGCTAATTGGGTACAATCCACTATTTCTCCTGCAGTTATTGAAATCATAATGAAGGTACCTTTTAACACGGTAATGTTTTCCTTATGAAGCAGGCTTCTTCATCCTTCCTACAAATATATATTTTTTAAATCAAAAAATATATAGAGGAGGAATTAACAAAAACGTTGTGTAAGATTTAAGTGTTTATGACCCAGACACGCATGGGTTATAGTACAAAAGCAAACAAACATGTTATAGAAACAATAACTGAAGTGAAGTTTTGAGAGAAGACCTCTGCTTTAGGCCACACCATCGTGGAAGGGTAACTTTTAGCTTGCTGTGCCTAAAATGTGGGAATCAGTTATCTAAATCTGCAGAAACAAAGTTTGTATTTGAGATGGAGCTAATATGGAGGACCACAAATGCCTTATGCAGTCTACTGGGGTTATTCCCCAGTGATATTCCACAATATTCTTAAATGCCCTGTGTATCAGTTACAATATGGCTTCTGTTAATACATTCCAAAGATTGTTACCAATATTCTATAATCCATAATAAAAAATCTTCAGTGAGGTCTTTTTAATAAAGAAAACAAAAGTCTGCAAGCAAGGCTATTTGGCTAACCTGCTCACACTTGATGTCTGTAGAACACTGTAACAGCCAGCCCTCCTGAAACATCAAGAGTTGTGCTAACGGAAGAATATTTGAGTGATCCTGGTTGTTTAACAGAGTGCCAAGCCCTGCACCCACTGTAGATATCCAAATAGCCTGATGACTTAAGTAGGTACTACCTTAAGCAGTAATGAGCAAGATTTGGCTCCAAGGTCTTCTCAAATGTAGTTAAATGGAGAACACAGTAGTGCTACTTTGCATATTACTGCTGGTGCTAAATCACTTGTTGAAAAATTTAAAATCTAAATACAAGTTGTAAATACTGTGTTTATGACCTGGTCCTTTTGACTGACTTGAAATTTATCACTCAGATTTCTTCTGGCCTTATTTCAAGCTTACCTTTTTAATATATATTCTGTGGTTCATTAATGTCGAGAGTCATTTGTGGGATGGGCTTTCTATGCTGCTTTCTGTAAAGCAGGTAACATTTAGTTTGTGTATTATATCAGATCATCTTCCATTTCTAGATTTCAGTTGTAAGAGTAGTTTAGGTATTAATCTTACAGCTTACCATCCATTGTCACTGTAGCTGTTTAAAGTAAAAACAGTTCTTAGTACCACCTATAATGGTTTGACATACATCCTTTGTTAATTCTTAAAAAAGTATGGCCATTACTGTAAGCATTTTTGTTTGAAAGTTGTAAATATATATATTTAAAACTACATTTAAAGATGAAATGTTAAATTGGTCCTATCCATAAGAGAATCTGAAATATGGAATACAGATTGTTAGTTTGGAGTCATATATTTTGATTTTAACTAAACATTTTCACAATTTCATAGGCATCAATTTTAGACCATTGTAAATACAAAGACTTGGAACAGTTGCATTAATTCAGATTGAACATTTCAAACAAAGTAAAAGTTATGAATGAAAACATGAAGAAAGTTTGTTACAATGCCAAGAAGCTCAAAAGTAATGGGGTCGAACATTTGGGTATTTGAATTACAATGGGGAATAAGGAGAATTTTGATAGGCAGCATCATCTTTTTTTTTTTTACACTGGTCGTAATAGGACTTTTGGCA